CACATTAACCATCAACATTAAAAAATGCAGATTTTGTTCATTTTGTAATATCAATATTCTTTTTTTTTCTTTTTTTTTTTAAATTTTGGACTGATCTTCATGACTTTGTAAAGCATATTTTGCATTTATAAACAGTTAATTACCAACATATGACATCCTTAAATGAGACTTCCCCAGTATGTAGGCAGTGTGGTGTAATTTACCAGCGATTAGACTTAATTGACTTCCATGTGTCTAAATGAGCGCAGAAAGGAAGTTGAGTGTAATTGCTATAAATGGGTGGCATCACTTGTGATGTGACAGGTGGAGAACTCAATCGCAGACTTTGTGGATGGATAGTCGTTGAATCTAAAGTAAAGTCTAAATTTAAAGGATTATCTGAAATGTATTCATGTAGGAAGAGTTCACTCACTGAAGAGTACATGCTGATTGGAGATACATATGCAAGCAAATGATTTCTAAAGCGTTAAAGCTGCTTTGATCTCCAAATATTTCACCTGAAACCTAACCACGTTGCTAATGTTACTAAGCYTGGCTTGTGTTTACTTTGACCAGCGCAACTCTGCAGCTCCTTTGCAGGATAAAGAAAAGTCACGCTGAGAGCATTTTCATATATCTCCTTTTCATATCTTGTGATCTGATCTGAAATAATTATTTTAAGACAGGATGAGATGGGACAACCTTTTTTTATTTTTGGACAGCAGATAATAGCCATTCACCCTCAGATTTTCAGTCATGACCAGATTCCCAGTTCAGTGAGAGACGGAAGCAATAAAGAAGACATGGAGAATGGGTCCAAGCTGAGAAGGTGGGAAAAAATAATTGGTTTGCATGATACGCTCCGTTATTTCCTTTGACTCATCCGAGCTTGTGTTTGCAATCCTGCTCTGGATCTACAAGTCTGACTGTCTGAGCAAGTTTATGGAATAAGTCCTCCTGCAGTGATGATTTCACTCACCAAAGATAAGTTTTAAAGCTCACTGCTGTGTGAATAAAATTGTTCTTTAGTGTAAAAAAAAAGCCCCCCTTGGCGTGTTAATAACCCACAAGAAGTATCAAAAATACAACTAAACCGTAATTAAAACCTAACATACCATGAAAGRATGCATGCAGTATTTAGCTAAAAAAAAAATAATTTACTCTAATGACAAAAGATATGGGTTTAAGGTGGGGTATTATGTATTTTCCAGGTACACCACAATCCAGTAACTATGTATACCTCAGTTGCTTTTAAAAAGCTTTATATATCAATATAACTTTGACTTTGCATAATAGCCTATCTAAGTGCCTTGAATTTGGCCTATGTCTCTTTAAGAACCTCCTACCATTTCTGACACTCCCACTTCAGCACATCTTCACAACAATGCTTTTACCGTTTACAACCTTTCATAGGAAAAAAAATCCATTTTTGACAAATCATGTCATCTGTAGGACTCGTAAAAAAAGGGTCGTTTCCTTGGCATAAAAAAACTGTATTTTCTCGGTGAAAGCAGTTTTAAATCCGGATAGGACTGGACAGAGAAATAAATACACRCTCAACAGACGTGCAGTTTCACCAGGTCTGGTGGAACAGTGTGGAGGAGGCGGGAGGGAGGGGTACTCTATGGGGCAGGACTGGACTCCAGGGTGGAGCTTTGTGTTAATAGGCGGGGCTTTGTACCCGCAAACATTTAGTCAGCTCCACATGGCTACCACAGGAGATTCAAGGATTTTTCAGACATGCAGAAATACAGCGGGTAAAATAAGTATTGAACAYGTCACCATTTTTCTCAGTAAATATATTACTAGAGGTGCTAATGACATGAAATTTTCACCAGATGTCRGTAACAACCCAAGTGATCCATACATACAAAGAAATCAAACCATAAATGTCCAGAAATGAAGTTATTTGTAATAATGTGGAATGGCACAGGGAAAAAGTATTGAACACACTTACTGAAATTTATCTAATACTTTGTACAAAAGCCTTTGTTGTCAATGACAGCTTCAAGACGCCTCCTGTATGGAGAAACTAGTGGCATGCATTGCTCAGGTGTGATTTTGGCCCATTCTTCCACACAAACAGTCTTCAAATCTTGACGGTTTTGTGGACCTCTTCTATGAACTCTGATCTTTAGTTCTTTCCATAGATTTTCTGTTGGATTCAGGTCAGGTGATTGGCTGGGCCATTCCAGCAGCTTTAGTTTCTTTCTCTGAAACCAACTGAGAGTTTCCTTGGCTTTGTGTTTGGGCTCATTGTCTTGCTGAAATGTCCAGCCACGTTTCATCTTCATCATCCTGGTAGATGGAAGCAGATTTTTATCAAGAATGTCTCTGTACATTTTTCCACTCATCCTTCCTTCAATTATTTGAAGTTTGCCAGTACCATATGCTGAAAAACAGCCCCACACCATGATGTTCCCACCTCCAAACTTCACTGTTGGTATGGTGTTTTTGGGCTGATGTGCAGTGCCATTTGACCTCCAAACATGATGTGTATTCTGGCATCCAAACAGTTCAATGTTGGTCTCATCTGACCAGACTATATTCTCCCAGTATTACACAGGCTTGTTTAAATGTTGTGCAGCAAACTTTAAAGGAGCTTCAACATGCTGTTTCTTCAGCAGTGGAGTCTTGCGTGGTGAGCGTGCATACAGGCCATGGTGGTTCAGTGCATTACTTATTGTTTTCTTTGAAACAATCGTACCTGCTAATTCCAGATCTTTCTGAAGCTCTCCACAWGTGGTCCTCGGCTCTTGGACAACTCTTCTGATAATTCTTTTCACTCCTCTGTCAGAAATCTTGTGAGGAGCACCTGGTCGTGGTCGGTTTATGGAGAAATAATGTTCTTTCCACTTCTGAATTATGGCCCCAACAGTGCTCACTGGAACCTTCAGAAGTTTAGACATTCTTCTGTAACCGATGCCATCATTATGCTTTGCAACAATAAGGTTGTGAAGGTCTTGAGAGAGCTCTTTACTTTTACCCATCATCAGATGGTTCTTGTGTGATACCTGGCCATCATTTGGGACGGAACCAGCTGATATTAACTTGCACTGACAAGGGGCAGGCTTGTTACAGACAACTGGTTAAAATTTCATGTCATTAGCACCTCTAGTAATATATTTACTGAGAAAAATGGTGACGTGTTCAATACTTATTTTACCCACTGYAAGKCAAAATTGGTTTATGTTTTTAATGAAGTAGTGACATAAAATAATATGGAGCTAAAACATTTAAATAAAAATAAATATTTTGCTTAATACCCTACCTTTAAGCAAAACYACTTTTGATACTTAGTTTGTGTTTGGGATCATTCTCAGCTATTACCACACACCAATTAAACAGAATTAATAGAATAGACTTAGAGTTACAGACATTTTTGTGTTTTATTCATCATTTTTTTGTCTGGCAATAATTTACATAATGATGAGGCCATGCAAAAAATTCAGTTACAGTATGTTGGATCATTATGTCCAATATGTTGTTTTGTTCTCGCTTTTACAAACCTACCTGTTACTGATGCTGCAGTATTTTAGTGTACAATTGTTGTACTAACTTTTCCCAGAYAATATTTCGTCGTCGACACTTTAGGCACCTGATTTTACAAGCAGCAATATTTGATGTTTGTCGACTCAGGTGATGCATCTTCCCTCACACTGCGGTTTCTACTGTTCCCATCATTCATGCTGTGAGC